ATACACTGTTGGTGGGAATGTAAAATGGTACAACCACTTTGGAAATCGATTTGGCGCTTCCTTAAAAAGCTAGAAATAGAAGTACCATACGATCCAGCTATCCTGCTCCTTGGAATATATCCTAGAGAAATAAGAGCCGTCACAGGAATATGCACACCCATGTTCATTGCAACACTGTTCCCAATAGCAAAAAGATGTAAACAACTTAGGTGCCCATCAGTGGACGAATGGATAAATTATGGTACAGCCACACAATGGAATACTACGCAACGATAAAGAACAACAGTGAAGCCGTGAAACATAACATGGAGGAAGCTGGAGGTTATTACGCTGCCTGAATTTAGTCAGTCACAGAAGGACAGATATTGTATAAGACCACTATTAAAAGAACTCAAGAAAAGGTTTAAACACAGAAGAAAACGTTCTTTGATGATTATGAGGGTGGGGAGGGAGGGAGAAGGGAATTCACTAACTAGATTGTAGATAAGAATTATCTGTTTGAAGGGAAGGACAGCACTCACTATAGGGGAAGTCAGCACAACTGGACTAAACCAAAGCTAAGAAGTTTCCTGAATACAGTAAACACTTTGAGAGACAGAGTAGCAGGGGTAGGGGTCTGGGGACCATGCTTTCAGGGGACATCTAGGTCAATTGGCATGACAAAGCTTATTAAGAAAATGTTCTGCATCCTACTTCGGTGAGTGGTGTCTGGTGTCTTAAAAGCTTGCAAGCGGCCATTTAAGATGCATCAGTTGGTCCCACCCACCTGGAGTAAAGGACAATGAACACCAGACACAAGGAAAGTAGTAGCCCAAGAGACAGAGTCACATAAACCATAAACTTCATCAGCCTGAGACCAGAAGAACTAGATGGTGCCCGACTACCACCAATGACCGCCCTGACAGGGAACACAATAGAGAGTCCCGGATGGAGCAGGAGAAAGGTGGGATGCAGAACTCAAATTCTAGTAAGAAGACCAGACTTAATGGTCTGACTGAGACTGGAGGAACCCCGGAAAGCATGGCCCCTGGATTCTGTATCAGCTTGGAACTAAAACAGTTTCTGAGGCCAACTCTTCAGACAGGGATTGGACTGGACTGTGGGACATAAAGTGATACTCCTGAGGAGTGCGCCTCTTATTTCAAGTAGATACAAGAGACTAGACGGGCAGCTTCTGTCCGGAGGTCAGATGGGAAGGCAGAGAGTGTTAGGAGCTGGTTGAATGGACGTGGGGAATCAGGGGTGGAAAAGAGGAGTGTGCTGTCACAGTATGGGAAGAGCAATTAGAGTCACATAACAGTGTATGTATAAATTTATGTAGGGGAAAAAATTAAAAATAAAACATGGAGGCTGTTTTACCACTGGTTTCTTAAATAAGCACATTTTTATACTATATTTTTAAAAATTCCATTAATAATGAGTTAATGCACAACTTTCTTGTGATGGCATCCATGACAGTCTATCTTTGAGGTTTTTTCATAACTAATAACTGATTGGAGTCTGCAGCCAATCTCAAGATTATAGGGATTATTACTAGTAATTAAAATTCCTCTGAGGGGAAAAAAAAAGTTACTAATATTTCAAATATTTGCTTGTGTTGTTTTGATTTCTTAGGTCCAATATTTCCCTATATTCAGTTGTTTCATTACGGCCGCTTCCTACAGATTATGTCCCTTCAGTAGTGATGCTTCCTGGTACTTGTCAAACCCAAGGTAAATCACAAAATAGTAAAATAATTTTTGGGGTGTTACTATGTTAAACGTAATATAGAGTTATTGCTGCTGCGGGCAAAGTTTAGTGCATTCAATCAAAGTGTATTTTTTTTAACTGATAAGGAATATTTTGAATGACCTCATGAGTTAATGAACTGTAGTATAAAATCAAATAGTAGAGCAGTGGTGAGATGCTTTGAATTTTTAGATGGGAGTAGTGGTTAATCTTAGAAAATAAGGAAAGAGGGGTGAGGAAATAAGTGGAGAGCTTACAAGGCTCTATCAAGTGAACATGTTATAAAATACCAGTGGATTTGGAGTGAATTAATTTTATATGAGAAAAATCTTATTTTGCATTACTTTGTTTACCTGAAGAATTTTTGTTTTAAGATATGGAGTTACCAGAAGACACCATAGAACCAAGTGATGAAATGATAGCATATGACTCACCAGAACAGTTGAATGAGCAATTGGTGACTCTATCCCTCCTCCCTGAATCACGATGGAAAAACCTTCTTAATCTTGATGTTATTAAGGTAATACTATGGTACACTTAAATTTGGACCCATAAAGACACATTCCAGTTAGTGCCTAAGGCAGCAAAGAAAAAGTCACTTAACTTAACTGAAAGCCATTTAATCTAGTGTGATTTTTCACTGTATTATACATACATATGTACATACTTTGAGAGCAGTCAGCAAACCTTAGGATATGGCATAAGTTCATCCTGCAGCTACAGAGCTATTAGAAATTGGATGCTTTTTAAATCCAACCTAGTAAGTTACTTCCTTAGCGTCTGAAACAAGAAAATACTGCCACTTTAATGTGTGATATTTCTAGCGCTAGGCATTTGGGGACCAGGAAAATTTTCAATAGTCTTTTATTAAGTTATGGTTAACTTTTCATCCCACAACTTACTCTGTCATCTACAAGAAGATTTTTTAGAGCTTGCTATGTCAGGGCCAGGCACTTCAGTTAATATGAACTGAAAACAAACAAACCAAACCTGTTGCCAAAGAATTGATTTTGACTCATTGCAACTTCATGTGTTATGGACTAGAACTGCTCCATAGTGTTTTGTTGGCTGTAATCTTAGAAGCACTTTGCCAGGCCTTTCTTCCTGTGGCGCTGCTGGGTGGGTTTGAACTACCAATCTTTAAGTTAGTAGTTGAGCCCAAACCATTTGTGCCAACCAGGGACCCCTGTGTTTATAGTTGTAGGGGCCAGAATGTCGTATATATTTTGTGGGGAAACAGTTCTGCCTCATCAGCAAGGTGCTGGAGTTCTGTCTGTACTAGGAAGCCTGGATTCAGAATATCTGTGGCATTGATTAGAGTGGAATTTTATTTTAGCATTCCAGTCTGAAAAGGTTTGATTCCTTGTTTACTTTTTGGTCTTTGTTTTAGAATTGCTTTGGAATTAAATATTAGAAACTGTTGGTAATATAATTGCTTACTAGTCTTTATTTTCACTTTTTCATTTTCTCTTAATCAGAAAAAGAATAAACCAAAGGAACCACCCAAAGCACCAAAATCAGCACCATTTTTTATTCCAACAGTTCCTGGCCTTGTGCCCAGATATGCTGCACCTGAACAAAGTAATGATCCCCACCAGGTAAAAGCCAAACTGGAGGACTCTAAGTATATGGGGTGTGTGTGCGTATGTGTGTGTTTTATGTGTTGTGCTTTTATAATTCTTTACCAAGACGTGATTTTATAGATAGAGGGTAAAGTAAGGATAGCTTTTATTGTAAGCTATGCATTTGTTTTTATACCCGTGTTCTTTGAATAATGTGTATTTCTTTTCATTTAAGTCTAAAGTGGTTAACCTTGGAATTTTGGCTCAAAAATCAGAGTTCTGCTTGAAACTTGAAGAAGGACTGGTAAATAATAAATGTAAGTTAAATTATAAAATATTCTAACAAGTATCTTCAGCTTGTTTTACTATATATGAAGAGAAATTAAAAGAAATATTAGCAAATTTTTCAACTGAAGAGGTTAGTAAAACTTAAAAGGATTGAAATTTTGGTTCTAATCTGAAGAATTTTAGTTTTTACTTATTTTAAATGAATTTGACACTAAAATCAAATAATACTGATACTATAATAATCTGAGAACGTTTCATACATTCTGTATGGAAAATTAGAATTTTTTAGTATTTGAAGATGGACACACACTTACTGACATTATTTATAATAATGAGGAGGTCTTTCCTGATGTGAGTTAAATATAAAATTTTGTCTCATTTCTGTAGCAGATAATTTGCAAGCATTTTGTTTTTGTTTACAAATATAGTTTGTAATACAGCAGAGACTTTTGTTTTAGGCAATTTCAAATATTCTCAAATTATCCTATAAAAACTAAATTTTAAATATTTATTGAATGTGTCAGTAAGTCTAAATTTTGAAGGCTACAGTCTGTAGCTAATAATGATGAACAGTTAGAACTGTGAGCAGTTAAGAAAATCACAGTCACTCTTCTGAGAAATTTCTCTTATCCCATTGTTTTATGATCTAAATGCTTTTGTTTTCTTACCACATTGGAGAAAGTCAAAGAATGGTACTGGTAGGCCTTTGTAGATGACTGAAAAATAGCAAAATCATAACAGGAAGTGAGTTGTTACATTTATGGAGGGATGGAGGGATAGAGAACAAAACCACGATTGTGTAGTATAACTGAGGGACAGAAAGTAAAATTTATTACACTGTTGCTGTTGGTATTGTTCTTTTTCAAAAAGGTACAACCATAGTTATTGCCACTGTAATATCAAAGGCCTCATATGTAAAAATGGTTGTAACTGTATCTGATGTGTTTTCATAGGATGCATATGAAACAATAGTGCTTACTCCTAGGGGGAAGAAGTAGGTTTAGAGTGGGTAAGAAAACAGGATGGGTCTTTCCCCTCTTGTTTTATATATTTCTGTATTGTTAATATTTCTGAATGGTCATGTGGTTATAATTTTTATAATAATGAAAAAGAAATAAAAATTCCCCCCCTCATCCAATTTCCATTGGTAACTACTATTAATAGTTTGGTATGTACCTTTATAGCTTTCTTATTAAGATTTGTTCCAGTTGATTTATGAGCATATTAAAGTTTCTCTTGGTAGGCATTAATTAGATTTTCTTTAATAGCCTTAACTGGGGAAAGAAAAATTACTGAAAACAAAAAATATTTAGTGCTTTTATTTTTTTATTGTTGCTCTCATTATGTGTACTAATTTTGGGGTTTATGCTACTATTACATGAAAAAATTAACCCATGGAAAGAATTTCCTATGCTATTTGAAGATAGGTTGCTTGAGGTGTGAATGAAAACTGTAGTTTCCTAAGTGATTGTAGATAATAACTGGATTCTTTTTAAACTTAATGCAGATGAGCCTGCTCTCAGTCTTCTGAAAGAATTAGGCCCATCAGGAATTGAAACAGAGCTGCGAAGCTTGTCTCCTGATTGTGGTGGGTCTGTGGAAGTCATGCAGAGCTTCTTGAAAATGATCGGGATGATGTTGGACAGAAAGCGCGATTTTGACTTGGCCCAAGCGTACCTTGCGTTGTTTCTAAAGGTAAGTCTGGTGTAAGACAGTACTTTCCAGCATGCCTTCCTTTATAGCAGTGTTGTTGAGTAGAACTTTCTTTGAAGATGGAAGTGTTCTGTATCTGACTGTCCAACATGGTAGCCACAAGCCACATGTGGCTTCTGAGCACTTGAAATGTGAGTAGTGTGACCAAGAAACTGAACTTTTAATTTTATTGAATTTTAATTAATTTAAGTCTGAATAACCACATGTGACTACTGACTACCACATTAGGCAGTACTGCTTCAAGTAGTTACATTTTGGAAGTTTTCCTGTGTTCATGAAGAACAAGTCAGATTACATGTTTTTGTTTTCTACTGCTGAAATAAAATTATTTACCTCTAAACTGGTTGGAGGAGTTTCAAGTGATTTGACAGTAACAGAATTGTCAACTTTTATGATTATTATTATAGAGAACTCATGTTTTTGTGGGTCCACTTCAGTAGTGTAATATGTTGAGGGAGGTAGCTGATCCTGAAAATGATGCTGATTTTAGTGAAAACAGATATGATTCTTCATCTATGCCATTAATGTCTACAATGAGGTTTCACATTATCTAATTATTAAAAAGGTAGATATTTAGATGTTGGCATGTACACTTTAAAAATAGAAATGCCACAAATTGTTTCAGTATCCTTTCTCAAATTTCCAAAATTTTAGTCCTTGAATATGAATTTTCTTAAATCTATAGAAATTAAAGCAAAGGGCCTGTCTACCATTCATTACCAGTGGTTTACAATGAAAGGAGAAACTTACAAAAACACAGAAATATGGATTTAGTGTTAGAACTAGGATTTTATTTTCTGGATCTACATCAAGACTGCCTGTAGGTGGAGGAGAGCAGGACACTTACTGTTAAAGAAGGGACAGTACCATAAAGGAGCTCATGATTAAAACGGTTTGATAATGGAGAGAGAAATGGGAGATGGTAATAAACCAGTGTTTAAGGAAAAAATTCAGATAGTATCTCCTGAGGTTCCTTGGTAAAAAAGTTCAATGCAGAGTAGACAAAAATACAGTTGCCTTAAGTGTTCAACTATCATATTTTTCTTTTCAGTTGCACCTTAAAATGATTCCTTCAGAGCCAGTACTTCTAGAAGAAATGACAAAGTTGTCATCACAAGTGGAAGAAAACTGGATCCATTTACAGTCACTCTTCAATCAAAGCATGTGTGTTTTAAATTATATAAAAAGTGCTTTGTTATAAAAATAAATTTAAAGGACTCAATAAACCAAAGACTTTAATATTAAATAGGTTCAATTTAACTCATATTTTGTTTTCCAAGATTCAGTGTGAAGAGAAAGTAAATGCTAATTCTGTTGACTAGTCAGTAATTCTTCACCTTAAATACCAAATACTTCCCTGAAATGAAATTGTACTTGCCTCATTTTGTCTTGAAGATTTAGACAATCTGCTCAAATGATTTTTTATCTGAGTCTCTTCCCATCAGCTACTTGTATATGACTTTTGCAGTATCACCAGTTTATATTTTCTGCTAATCTGTTACATAAAAGAGATGCTGGGTGTTTAGTGTACTGCTGAACTAAGATGAAGATGTCTAATACATAATGTAGTTACAAAAGTGCTTTCATGGTGTGAAGAAAAGGAGTGTTCCCTTCCTTAGTCACCTGTGATGAAAACATGAATCATTGACTCTTAGAGCTGGAAGGGATGTGAGACTTCTTCCAGTACAACCCTCTCGTGTTGGCAGAAGGAAAGGCAGGCTAAGGTCTGCTCAGGTCTCAGTGACAGATCTAGATTTTCTGACAGTGGCCTGGGGTTCTCTCCACTGCAGCCTTTCTAAAGGAAATCGTTCTTGAATCAGCAATGTGGGAGGCACTCTTCCAAGGCAAACTGCCTTAGGAGAAGGTTGAGCAGATACCTAGAATAGCTAAGGGAAATTCCAAATTCCTTTGAAGGTTATCCTTCAAGATTTTTCTTCCTACTTGATGATCTTTTAATTTGGGAAGAAATTACTAACTGTACTTTTCTCTCACAGCCGTTTCGAAACTAGATACCTGTGGCATTTTCTCTTATTTCATCATCGTTTTCCATGACTCAAGACTTAGGGAATACGTGAATTAAATATAAGCAATTTTCTTTAAAGTACAGTGCCCTGGAAATGATTTTTAGTTTGTATACTCAAAAGTAGTGTCATTGGTAAAATACAGGCTCATTGGATTTGAAAACTAATACCATTCTGGTTCAACATTAGGACAAAAGGGTTTCTCAGAATAATCTCAGAAAGGAGCCATTCTCACGTGGTGTTGACCAAGGATACCTTTAGTATTAAAATGTTTTTATTTAATGGTGTAAGGTAGAGTTGGTAAACTGCTAGGAAATCAGCTAATATGATATTATACTTAATTTTGTTTTTCTTTTAGAAATACTGACTTATTAAAACCACTGTTAATAGTGATTTAAATTCTAACTAAAAACTATTTCCCTCTTCTCGAAATGCTGTATTCTGAAGGTATGACAGTACAATCATGTACCATGTAAAGACTGTAAATAACTAAAACTAAATATTAAGAGGTCTAAACTGGTATTTTATAAATCATGAACTAAATTTTCTTCTCTCTGTTAAATGATAATACAGGAGTTGAGTGTATTGTTTTTATTGGAGATATCCTTAGATTATTACAGCATCATTTTGGCAAGTAATCTTCCAGAACCTTTTCTGTGCAGTTGCAGTTGAGGGAGGAAGGAAGGATGAAAGAAATACAAAATATAGTTTTCATATGTATATTTTTTTAAAAAATGTCAGTCTGTACATACTGCTTTTTAAATTAAATTTTAATTTCTCATCTAATTATGACTACATTTTGCACTTGTAAAAACATTAGAGACAAGACTTTTTGACAACCACCTTCAATCCCAATAGCCTCCCTAGAGGTTATAGTTGTGAGCTCTGTTCTAGATCTTTTTCTATGAATGTTTATACCTGTTACATATAGCCACAAGAAACAATATATTGCATAGTTTGTTTTTTACGTAAATACACGTATATCATTCTGCAGCTTGCTTTTTCTTGCTCTGTTGGTGTGAGTGAAGTGGAATGGCTGTAATAATGAAAACAGTGTGGCAGTACTTTGAGTAACTAAGGAGGTGTATACTCTATGACCTGCCATCTCACTTCTGGCGAATCGGTCACAAGGTTCTTAAAAAAATACGTACTACCAGGATGTTTACTGAAACATCGTTTGTAGCAGCAGAGAGTTAGAGACAACTTAAGTGACCACCCCTCGTGGAATAGTTATATAAAATGTGCTGTGTGTAAATGAAGAAATACCAAACAACAGAGTAAAGACCAGATTTTTCATCAGTATGAATAGAGCTTAAAACACTGGTTGACTGAAAAAAGCAATGAAATCTGTAACACCATATCATTTATGTAAATTAATACATAAAACCAAACCTGCTGCCATGGAGTCAGTTTCAACTCATGGCAACTCCATGTGTTACAGAATATAACTGCTTCACAGGGTTTTCTTGGCTGTAATCTTTACAGAAGCAGGTTGCCAGGCCTTTCTTCCGTGGCACCACTGGGTAGGTTCAAACCACCAACCTTTAGTAGTCAAGCACAAACTGCACCACCCAGGGACCTAAATTAATACATAGAACAATAAATATTCTAGGATAGATTTATAGTTGAGGACTGTATAAATTACATCTATCAAAGGAGACATGAGGGCCAAGACTGGAAATAAAGTGGGGAAAAACTAGTAAAAACGAGTGTTTTTACTCAGGCTGATGATAATAGTATGTACTATGAACTAATTCTGTGCAGAAGGCCCAAAAAAATGGAAAAAAGTCACAATTGATTAACATTGCTTTAGTATCACTTAGGAAAATTGATTTTGCTGTTTTACCATTAAGCTTTGCACACACACAATCTTTAGGTACCAATAAAATAACTAAATTATTCGAAGTGAAACCAAAACAGGTTAAACTCTCGAATAGTTGTGCATATAGGAGAATGTGCAGTTCAATGGGAATGCCTTGTTGAGTTTTGTTAATTTTTGATTCCAAGGTACACGTGGCTGTATCTACAGCATGTGATTTCACAGGATTTCCTCTCATAATTGAGTAAGTGGGACCCTGACAGTGGGAGAGGGTGGGTGAGAAGGGGGACTGGCAACACAGGTTTTCCCTCTAACCACATCTTGGGAAAAAAAGGATGAGTGGGTTGAACCACTGAGAGGAAAGAAACAGCCTTAGCAGGGAATTTGAGCCTAGAATTTGACAAAATATGTATCCAAAAGAACCTAAGCTAATGTAAGATTTAAATAACTTTTTTTCTTTTCTCCTTCACCTGGCGAAAATGGATTGGGAAAAGATAACCAGATCTGGAGATTCAGAGGCTAGAAATGGACCTTGTCCTGTGTGTTAGAGGGGCACTCTCTGAGAGGCGGAGTGCCAACTTTAGCTCTCGGTATATGGGGCACATTCTGATCAAGGTGGAGGCAGGGGCCAGGGAAAAGTCCAGCACTGTTGCTGTGGTAACAAGGAGGTGAAATGAAGGGCACTTCACAAGTGGGGCCACAATGGGTGGACATGAGGACTGTGTGGTTTTCTAAAACCATCCCATTCCCTCTCCTCTGTGGTTCATTCAGTAATTCTGTGTTGAGTACAGCAAGATGCTGGAGATACAACACAAATGAGACATGGTCCCCGGCCCCCAGCTCCAGAAGATGAATGATGTGGGAGGAGAGAGAGTACGTATATGTCTCTGTGGACATGGAAGGCAGCGTGGAGAAGAGAACAACTGCCGTGGATAGGGAAACAGATGCAGAGAGATTGATGCAGTGGGGTTGCCGTTTGACTGGGCCTGGAGCTCCTCCAGGAGGTAGTGGGAAAGGTAGCTCTTGGCAGAAGAGATCCTCACCTAAGTGATATGGTACGTGTCTGAGATTTCCCAGAAAGCATGAGTAATATCTGTGCAGCAAATTTCATTCTCCTGCAACAATAAACAGAAATAATCCACTTGATTCCACATGAACGAAATGGCAAAGAGAGACATAGCCTCACATTAGCTTATCTCTTTACACTTTACCAAAGCCCAAAGCAGGAAATAATCACTCACTTCCCTGTTGGGAAATGACAATCACTCAACAAATATACCACAACTTTTATCACTTGAAACAAATTTTGTCTTTTAAAATATAAAATAAAGTTGGTCTTTTTAGAAAGACCAATATTCTTTTGAGACACAAATAATTATTTTTTGAGACAAAAAGCATTTTTAAAGTAGTATCTTGTGTAGCAAAAACCCTGAACAAATAGCGTTACCCAGAGGCACTTAGGGTAAATTCAGATTATCCCAGAAAGCATCTCTTGCTGTTTCTCCCCATTGTTCATTGTGTGCCAACCTGGTTGGCTTCACCGTCTTCTGCCCGCATGACATTCTCATTCCTGTCACTGCCTCTGCTGGTGCTGTTGCCCTCAGCTGAACTTACAAATTTGTTGTAGAGTTCACTTCAACTTTGCACACATAGATATCAAATTCAGTGCTTTCAGAGCACTCTGGTGTTCCCTGAGGGTCTCTGAAACCCTTTCAGAAGTTCAGCAAGGTGAAAATTATTTTCATAGTAAGACTAAGGCATTGTTTAATTTTCCGCACTCTCAGTATTTCAAGTACATGAAATATCCATAGATACAATCCACATAATCAAAGCTTGGTAAGGTCTTCAATGATTTTTAAGAGTGTAAAGGGGTCCTAAGACCAAAAATGTTGAGAACCACTACCCTAATTTATTAGTTAAAAAATACATACTAAGAAGTGCTAACACAGACCATGCAATAATCAATGCTCATCTCTGAAAATGCCTTAAACTTGATGTTCCAAGATATGGAACATGAATCAGTACTACTCTGGGGATCAGAGAATCAATGGGGCCAGAGCAGCTCTCAGGTTTCACAATCCTATTTGACCCCAGATTCAGTTAGGATCAGCAATCTATTAAATTCAGCTAGGATTAAATGGAAACTTTGGGATAAAACAATGAAATGACAAATCAAGAATGTTCGAATTGTTAATATTATGAAATGTGTCAGTCTGGGTGTGTAAAATCCATATCATTTATTTCCAGCAGAAAATAAATTTATTAAAGCACATTAGGGATCTTTCCAAATCTCATGTGGCCCTTGCAGCTAAGAACAATGTCTAGATCATCTCTAGGCACCAACACTAGCCCTTGGTGCTGGAACCTCTGCCCCTGTTGCCTCTGAGCCTGGAGATCTCAACCACCACCCTCACTGAAATGCATTCCACACGGCATTGCTTCTCCACAGCTCTTGATTACAATTCAAATTGCATGTGGGTACATCCAATTGGGACAGTCTAAGGCTTAAGGCTAAGAGAGTGAATTTCTGGGTTCTCTGTTGGGATGCAAAGATTCTAAATAGAAAATTTCCCAAATATTGAAAGGCCATCCCCAAGACAGTGGGCCTCAAGAAGTAGAACAGATATCCCCATGGTCCCCTCCTTGGCTGCCCAACATACACCATTCTTTCACACTTAAACTTCCTAGCAAAAATAACATCAGCAAAGATAATAAAATACTATCCTTCATACAGATAAAAACACTACAATCCTAAAAGAACAAATGGTTATTTATAAGTTAAAAATTACTTCAGGATTAAGTAACAAAACCCCCAACTAACCATGATTTCGATAAATGGGGATTTATTTTTCTCAGATATAAAGAAGTCTGGAGATAGATAGTCGTTCAAACTGATTCAGTCATTCAATGATGCTCCAAAGGATATAGGATTGTTTTATACTTTGTCTGTTTCACTTTTATGACAGGACCTTTTTTGTTGCTTGTGTCTGTCATTTTGTAGTCTCAAGATGGCTGCCACAAATCTAGACATCAGACCTCATAAAACCTTCTCAAGAAGGAAAGAAGGGGTAGAGGCAAAATTATTTCCTCTTATGAGGTGTTGTTCTTTTAATTGGGAAGACCCTCAACCCCCACCAAAACAGACTTCTTCCTAAGTTTCACTGGGCAGCACTAGGTCACATGAATATCATTTGACCAATGACTGATAAAGAAATAGGCTTACCACGATTAACTTAGAACAAATATGATTTATACTCTGGAGGTAGCTAGGGAAGGGCTGACCTTCCCTGCTATCAGAGATCTCTGACCACTATCTAAACATAAACTTAGGATGCTATTGGAAGGGAACAAATGGGCAAGATGGCTGTTGCTTTGGCAATGGATAGTGTTATTGGTCCATAATACCAAACATTCCTAAGCTGCAAAACTACGTTGTCTACTAGAGATTGTTTTTTATGTGAGTTATGGATTGAATATGATTTAAACTAAGGAAACTTCATGTACAATTTAACAAGGGTAGTATGAAATGAAATTGCATGGATATTTATGAATGAAAATAGTCCAAATAGTTTAACTTTTCCAACTCTTGAAACTGGCTTGCCATCTCAGTACCTATGTATGATGAATAACACTTCTAGAAGTAACCACAATATGACTCCTAGAAGGTGAGGTTTAAGGCCAGAAGTGGCAGTTTGTGACAAGGTGTGACCCTGCTCTTCTAATAAATATGCATTTTAACAGCAGCCGAAATTCCAGGCTTCCTCTAACTTAAGGGCTGGAACCAAGAGGTCTAAATGGCCTCATCTATCCTACAGCCCACAGATTCTGACTCTACAGATTAAGACAGTTATGAGCATAGTAGCTACTCAAATAATTAGTAAAGAGAAGTGAGATTCTGGATTGCCTTGATGCAAGGGACATCTTTGGGTCAGAGTGCCCTCTATCCATTCTCAGCATTCCATGGTCATTCAGGAAGAAGTAAAGGCTTTCCCGGGCCTAAGCCAGAACCTTTGGACATCTCCATCAGCGGCAGTGACCTGTGAAAACTAAGGACAAAAGGAGATTTCAACCAAGTAATGGCAAAAAGAGCCAGTTCCATCTCTTTCTTTCACTCATCAAAAAATGCTAAATAAGCTCATATTAGAAAGAAAATGCTAGGTAAAGTTTTAGAAACTTTTCCATGGGTTTATATTGAATTAAGTCATAGCACTATTATTTTCATGAAAATGTGCTACATTTGGAAAAAACTTTGGCTTTGGAAAACAAAGACTAATTCATAAATTTTACTTTCCATTAAAGAAGAAGTGACAAAAAGGGGAAACGGCATATTTTTAAGAAGAGAAAGCACATCATGTCACTTTCCAAGGACAACCAATACTGTCTTTTAAAATGAGTTCTGAAGAAAATAAACATAGGTTACATAGAGTATAGAATATTCCATGTTTTTTCTCATTAAAACTTAACTATATAGCAACTTAAAAAATATGTCTCTTCCTCCTCTTCCTTCCACTGGTAACCACCAAACTGCCTCTTTATAAACCCAGATCATTTGGCACTTT